GAACAAACCAGCCAACGCCGTCCTGCACAAAGGTAAGAGATCGAGCAGGAAGTGGGAAAATCTCACAGGAGCCTTTAATACACACAAATCAGACTAACTGCATCACATCAGCATTAAACACTTGTTAAATATTCTTATTTACCCTGTTGGCTGAAACTTTGGGTTTAATTAGGGCCTAAAAAGTCACCTGAAGTGAATCATCTAGGAAATAAAATAAACCCTGACCTTAACTCAACAACCATCAAGGTGTCCTTATAGTACCTTATCTCTCTCTTTCTCTCTCAGTGCTGAAGCAGTTGGAGGAACTGCTGAGCGACATGAAGGCGGATGTCACCCGCCTGCCGGCAACCATCGCCCGGATACCCCCGGTTGCCGTGCGACTCCAGATGTCCGAGAGGAACATCCTGAGCCGGCTGGCTAGTCGAGGGCCAGAGACACAGACACAGTCACAGACACAACAGGTACACAGTTGGAACCATCACTCAGTTTGTGTTCATCAGTTTCTGTCATCTGTCTTCTTCATATCAGAGACGGATGTTGATATTGTCATCTAACTCTGCAAGAAAGCCAATGAGCATGTTTCCCAAAATGTGCACCTCTTCCTTTAAGGTCTCATTATTGAGGATGTGCAGAGTCAAAACAAATAAAACTAACTTTGTCGTTTCCATTTTCCCTCTTCCAGATGTCGCAGCAGTAGACTGAAACTCTGCGCTTTACCTCGAAAACCAACCCCCTGCCTCACCTCGACATTCCTGATTGGTGCACAGCAGAGTCATGGACAGCGCGTTCAAGCTTGAAGCCACGCCCAGTTCACTTCCCCCCCCTTAAACAGACTTTAAACAGAGTTTTTCTGGAGGATCGAATCCCTTCCCCAAGTCTGAGGCTGTGGACAGAAAAGCTATTTTATTTTTTTCCTCCTTTTTTCAATTTCTGTATTAATATTATTGATATAATGTTATTATGATGGTTTTTTGGGACCTAAATAAAAAAAATGAAATAAAAAAATGTGTCTTTGGTCAGTTACAGTTGCATTAAAACTACAGGCTAATATAATTAATTTGATTAGTTTATTTTATTAAAGAAAAGGGAAAGTAAAAACACATATCTGCGACAGTAGTTAGGTGGAGAAAACTCCTATAATCTAGTTCAGTTTACTTCCTATTGTTTTATATTCAGGTGTATTTAAAAGTCTTAAGTCCAAATGTTAAGAAAGACACTTGCAGATGTGGTTTTGTACCTAGAAATTAAGAATTACTTGTTTTAAACCGATGACTTCAGAAACTTCGATAATGAAAACAAAATGTCTTTCTAAAGATTGAAAAGCCTTTTGGTATTCCTTGGTTTTAATTCTATGCAGCTTACAGCAGCTCCTGTATTTCCTTTCTGCATGGCAACTGTGTACAGTTAGTGTTTATAGCACGTGTATGGTCAAGAGTTTTGTTGTTAATCTCACTTTTGCAGGGTGAACACATTACAAACTAACAATCTGCTTAGACTTCAGCAACACTTCTTCACTCCCAGCTTGTCAAATGGAGCAGCTTGGTCAGTGGCCTTATATTTCAAACTATGATGCTTGAGATCCCCTTCTAGCATCAATAATGGACATCAGTTTCCACTCCTGTGCATACAGTGCTGTTCAAAATAAACTTCTGTGATCACAGGAAACAGGTTTCAGCACCAAAAGTACTTTGTTAGATTTAAGTAAATTGTTGGTTTGGGTTAAAGTGACATTGGCCTTGGGTTTAATGTGAGACACACAGTCTCCTGGGTGAAACTATAGTGTTTGTCTCATACAAATGCTTAACGTTGCCTTGTGTGTTGGTATCAGACCAGGCTCCAGGAAGTGCACTGAGCTTTGTAGCCAATTTTTGTGGTGGCCAAACAAACAGTGTGATTACACTGTCTGGTTGCATCCTGTTGTCAGAAAAGACCTTTTCCCATTGACTTACATAGAGAGAAAGACGGCTGTAAATCAGTGGATACTTTGTTTTTGAGCCTCAACCCCAGTGAAATGACTCATTTTACAATCAGGGTTTTATCCATTTGGTGTGATAACAATAGGATAGTCTAGAAGTGAAACAAAACTGAATCATTTTATCTCCATTTCAGTAAACGGAGCGCTAAACCAGAAGTAGCTGGCTCAGTCAGCAGAAGTCTCTGCATTGGAGCTAATCATCTGGGTAATATTGGCTTCACACGTCACTCAGTATGTCTACATAACATTAAAGAAGACTTTTTAAATACTTTTAAACATGTTAGCCCGACTGAAATCGTACTAGCTCAAATTTCTCAAAGGCGGACCAACACACCCAGGTAATGTGATGGGAGTCAAATTCCTCCTGCACATATACAGTCAATCAGACCCAAACTGGTATAGGTGCTTTGCGCATGCTCCAGTTTCCACCCAGAGCTTTGACCTGGATGTTGAAAGCATTAAATGTGTAAAAGAAGAAGAAGCAGGTAACAAGATGGCGAAATCTACATCCAGAGCCCTGCATTTTTTGGAAGGACGAAAACTACAGAGCTGTAAAGTTGTCCACCATGATACCTGTTGGCCACTAGCTAACTGCAGCTATGTTGGTTGTCCATTTTGTTTTGTCTGTGACATAAAAGGTCAAAGGGAAAAAGGTCAAGCCACCTATTGTAGCAAAGTCGGACAAACTTTGGTCAATAAATTGCTTGTATACTGGGACAAGGACAGTAATCCATTTAAATGGCCGAGTCGGGCTATAACCGTAGCCCCACTTAACTGTGCGTGTAAACATACTGATTGAGCAACTGAACGAGGCCTCGCCATCAATGCTGTATCCAGTTCTCTTTATTCATCCATGTATCAGACACCTAAGAGTGTGATAAAGTGTCAGTACATAACGACCTGAGAATGAGAACTGGTTGAATTTAGACATACTGACGTACTTCTTGTGTTCTGACAGCTGAGGACTTGTACCGGTAATGCTGATGTGGACGCTCAATGGTTGTTGTCGGTCTGGCGTTCCATGCATGCACATTTCCTGATCCTGATCCATTTCCAGTTGGTGGCAGTAGAGATGGCCAAATGAAGCCTCATGAAGCATTTTCTTTATTTCATGAGCCCACTAGATGGTGCTTTTTGTTCAACAAAAGGTTGAAAGCACACTGAATTGCCATTCTTTGAGCCTCTCTCGTTAAACCAAGAGCGTCATCTAGTGGGCTCATAAAATAAAGAAAATGCTTCATGAGGCTTCATTTGGCCATCACTAGGTGGTGGTAATGCACCATACCATTGTTTGCCAACAACCATAAAAACCAAGAAGGAGAATCATGCATTCATTTTGCATAAGGAGAAAACTGTGACCTCATGACAGCAAGAGGAGCTCCGGTGTTTGTTGTTTTTGGCCAAACATGAAAACACAAAAAGAGAAAATCTCTGAACAAGAATAGGACCGGGGACGGGGAATACAGTAGATAAGTCAAGAGAAGAGAAGCATCACCAGCAGGAGCATGCACACTCTGCATGCTTGCTATGTGTACAGGGGTCTGCGCAGACCCTGACAGACGTGGGCAGATAATGACATTTACGTCACAGACAAAAGCAGACACCAAAAGTATGAACTGACCCTAAATATGTAGACAAGGCAGCTTTTTCGTTTTGTTTTTGATCAATGCAGCTATTCCTATTTGTGACCACTAGAGGCAGATAAAGACAATACCATGTTTGGTTACATTAAAACAACTTTCAGAGTAAATCAGGGCACAAATAAGACACTTCCACTGCAAACATTAATTTATTAGAATCCCAGGCAATAATCAGAATAATGCATCTGTAATGTTTTAGTGTCAAATGTTTGTCACTTCTCTTTACCTGTGATATCCAGCAGTACTGAGGGAGCACTAAACACAGTGGGATTAATGCTCAGTACCTGCTCACAGTTTTAAATCTCACAGTTTCTCTCTACATTTTAATGATCATATCTGTAATATCTTCAGTCTCACCAGTTTCATTCAGAAAATGCCTCAAAAACACACAGAGGAGTCACATTCAAGCAGAGCACACGAACATTCAAACCACAGCTGAAGTGCACAAACACAAGTCAGGTCAGTTCACGAGACAATAAAAATAAAATCAGGACTGTTTCTGCATCACAACTGTTACAACAACTCAAACTGAGGCTGGACAGACAAACTGAGAAAAAAAATCAACTTTGTTCTTGTCGTGGTTCTGCAAGAAGTGAAATTTCTGCTCAAACATCAGCAGCAGTACCAACACTGACAGCAAGGGGGCAGCTTTCCTGAAAAAAAAAATACTGTACAACACAGCAAAGAGGACAGAGAGGAAAAGAAAGCAGGAATCCTCAAACTCAGGATTAAAATACTGTTCAGTGATGTTTTAGTTCCTCAATTTCATAAAAAAAATCAAAACAAAAGAAACACAGTGTTCACTATCATTCAGTTAGAACCAGATAAATATTAAAGTCTAATTATTACATGCAAAAAAAGGGTTAACTTATATCACATGGATTATGTATGGAAATTATGTTATAAACCATTTCTTAAACTGTCACTCTAATTTACTGCAATCTGGTTTTTTAATGGACTCTCAGTCCAGATCATCCACGTATCAGTGCACAAGTTGTCATTTCAATTTCTGGCAATTATGACAAAACTATCATTTATATTTCTGCATCTTTAATATCTTAATTTCTGATGGAAAATATCTCCTGGCCTGTCTGCTGCTCATGCTGATGTTTAAAGAAAGAAAATTTAACAAGAAGAAAGAAAGAAAGAAAGAAAGAAAGAAAGAAAGAAAGAAAGGAAGGAAGAAATTAAAAAGAGAAAGAAAAAGAAATTATGAAAGAAATTTAAAAAGATGAGACAAATTAGAAAGAAAGAAAAAAAAACAATAGAAAAGAGAGAAATCTATAAAGAAAAAGAGAAAAATTAAAAAGAGAATGTATAAAAGACAAGAAAATAAAAAGAAATTCAAAAAACTGAAGAAATAAATAAAATAAAAAGACAAAGAAAGAAAGAAAGAAAAAGAAAGAGAAAATAAAATCAAAAAGAAAGAAACGAAAGAGAAATTAAAAAAGAAGGAAAGATTGGGAGATGACAGAGCAGCTGACTCAACATTAGTTTTGTGTCTCTAAAACTTTTTCTGTAAGAAAAATTTGTTTTAAAGCCAAAAAATGACTGAATGAATAAATAAATAAAATCTTATTTGACATAACAACTCCCCTGTAGACCCTTCTGTTGGATGATTTTGATTCTTTCTGGTTATTATGGCTCTTTGTCAGATACTGGAGACCAGCAGTTCATACTGGTGGTCAGTGGAAACCAATAAAAAGGTCACAGATCACTTCCTGTTCCTTTAACTTGGCCCGGAAAGTCTTTTTTTCTTTTAAATCTCACTTTCTGTGGCCCAATTTCCAATTTTCTAAATACTATTTTTTTTTTTAAAAAGAGTTTTGACTTTCATTTTTCACACAGGATAATACAGCAATAACAAGGGGGAAAAGTCTGCTTGACTTTTCTTTAATTCATTTATAATTTAAACCGTCCTATCTGGTACCCAAAAAAAAAGCAAGACTATGACATCCACTCAGGATTCCTGCCTGAGAGAAGTTTTCCACGAGGAGCGGAGAAGAAAAGGAGGCACTGGAGCACATTACAGAACAAGCATGGAGGTTTCTGAGGAAGGCATCTGTGAGGAAGAGGAGGGTGAAGAGCTGGAGGAGTGCTGAGGAGAGGCTCAATTTTGGCTTGGTAGCATTGGTGCAGACTCGTCCTGCGACTCGTGTGTCCATCCCTGAAGAGCAGCTCAGTAGAAGAAATACACTGAGGAGGGAGAGCAGAGATGAGACATTTAAAAATATTAACAATGACAATTTAATGACAGCTGGACAAACTCCATCTCCTGATGAAGAGCATGTGATACGATTGAAATGTACTTAAAGGTTCTGTATGTAACTTTCAGATAATCTTTGTTAATGATGACACCAGTGGCCGTTAAGTGAACTGCAGTCAGCATCTTGTTGCAGTAGGCGCCAGTCAGTAGTGATGGCCAAATGAAGCCTCATGAAACATTTTATTTATTTTATAAACCCATTGGCACTTTTTGTTCAGCGAAAGGTTGAAAGCACACTGAATTGCCATTCTTTGAGCCTCTCTCTTTAAACCAACAGTGCGATCTAGTGGACTCATAAAATAAAGAAAATGCCTCATGAGGCTTCATTTGGCTATCACTACCAGTCAGCAACTGGGTACTGGCCAAAATAGTGACATGACATAGGCTACATGAGACTGAATGTGATTGATCAGCATCATGTTGATAGAATGCTGTAAAATTTATTGAAATCATATTTAGAATAACGTTACTATCTTTAATGTCCCTACATTTCATTTGGACCACTAGCTTAATGAAACTAGCTAGCTTGCCATTTGTAAACTACGTTTTTAAGCCCCAGTCACACAGAAAGCGCTTTAGCAGCTGGAGGCGGCTTTTTGTAATTGTTTTTATGTGAATGAAGCTTTTTGCTTGCTGTTTTTGCATTGCTACGCGCCTCACATTTCTGACCGAGGCATGTGGTGTTTTTGCCAGAGCGCTCTGAACTCCTTCAGTTGAAAAAACTTCAAGTCAGAGTGGAAAAGTGCCCTACGTCATCTCCCCTTTTTTCCCATCATCCAATTAGATGAGCTGAGAGGCGGGCCTTCGATGGTTGTCAGGACAACAAGTTTGGAGTTGGTAAACAATGGAGGAGAAACTGATGGTGGTGGTTGCTGGATACCAAGAGCTATACGACTTTACGAACTGCAGTTACCATGATTAAAATATAAAACAGCAGGCATGACAGCATATAAGTGCAGTACTTGAAATGGCCATCATTGAGGTGAAACTCCTGGACCAACTGGTGGTACTCCCCATGATCCACCCTCTTTTTTAGGGTCTGATGTACCCACATAGATCTCTGTTTCCCTGTGCCCAACAAACTATTTGCTGACAGCCTCAACCAGAGCCACAGCAAGTACCCTCTGTCTGTCCATTTTAGTAACCAGCTACTAATTACATGGGAAGGTTAGGGTACGGAGGTGATGGGGTGGTTGCCTGACAATAATAAAAACGGTGCAGCAAGCGTTTTTTTTTAAATAGTGGCATTCAATTTTTTTTTAAAAAAAAGGCAGTGCAATGCGCCTTGCATTTTTCAACCTGCAAAACATATTCTGTGTGATTGGGGCCTTAGCTAACATTAAGAAGCAACTGAAGGCAGGTCCATGCAGATTAGCTTTAAAGCTAACTAGCTAACCTTAGCTCAGGTGCAGTTAGCTAGTTGAGTATCTCTGCCTTGCATCACTCTTGGCTACTAGAGAGCCATTGTTAATTGCACACCTTATCTGGTGAAGTAATTTGGCAAGCTAGCCGTCTACCATAAAACTTTGGACAATTAAAAGCCTAGTCCTAATTAAAACACCCAGTCCCTTTTACTAGCCCGGTGTAGCTACACATTTTGAAAAAATAAAGGCCTGTCTAAATTAGATGCCTCGTCTGGCTGCCAAGCAGTTCTTTTTTTAAAAAAAAAAAAATCATAGAAGGTCTTTTGATGTTGACTACGTCAAATTATGTCCATTCCTCGATTTCCCTGTAAATTATTTATATTCTTTTAGTCCGTAAGGGTCATCAAATCAAAACAATCAAAAGGGTTTCTTTTTAATAAAAAATAATCCAAGTCGTGAGTGTTGTTTTAACAGGATGAAATGGTGTTGTGTCGGTATGCCCAGTGCTGTAATCCTCGAGTGCTGTGACTCACTCTCTCTCTGATGTGCTGTCTGTCAGAGCTAGATCAAATGAATGATTCATAATTGATATGTTATCTGAAGCCTAATTTTTAAACAAGTAATATTCATACTGGTTTCAATAAACAATTTGAATGTATTTTCCTATCTTTGCTTTGCTTTTGTGTGAAATAAATTAAAGGCCTGTCCCATAGAGACGCCTGTCCCAAATATAGGCCTGTTGATTTTAGGTTTAAGTAAAGCAAAAACAAAATGAGTATGAAAAATAGGAAATATTTTGACAAAATCAGACCTGGAAAAAAGAACCTGCAAAAAAAGAAACTAAAAAAAAGAAACACTTTGAAAATATACTGTTTTCTGTGAAAAGCTACAAACTACAAATATCTTACAGCAGTTTTTCCAAATCTACAAGAGTATTGTTTGATAGTTTTTGACATTTTTTTTTGGTGAAGAATCTCTCTGATAAAAGTGAAGCCTGACTGCTGTATGTGACAGAAGTGTGTTTGTGTGATGTTGGTTTACTTACAGAAGATGACTCCAAAACATATAACACCTACAACTGCCATGATGATCATCATCTGGAAGAAAAAGAAATGTTGATGAATAAACTGAGTGTGTTAAATAATCCTTAAATCTCTTTTATTTCTGATATCACAGGGAAAAAAAACATGTGGTTGACTAATTTAGACTCCATGTGTTGCTTATTTTATTTTAGACCGTGTGATAGTGTTTTTTTTATCACCAAAGAAAGAGAGTCTTATTCTTTGTTAGTTATGGAGGATTTTCTGGGTACAATATACAAAGTTACACAACACAAACACTGTGTGGACCTAAATACTCCATAAATAAATTCACATGATGACATGAGAGTCAGAGCTGCTGACAGACAGGCAGGAAATCACATCACCTCTGATGGGGGGAGGGCGAGAGAGATTAATAAGAACAAGAGGATAGAGATAGACAGAGAGAGAGAGAGAGAGAGAGAGAGAGAGAGAGAGAGAGAGAGATTGGATGAGCTTGATGGGTCTGCGGGTTGGTAGAATTGCAAGAGAGAAATAAGAGAAACCAGATGTTGATTGTGAGCTTGTTTGAGTGTGAAAATGAAGCAATGAGGAATTTAAGGAAAAAGCTGGAACTATCACCTCACAGTTGTATGTGTATGCCAACCAATCAGGTTGCAGTTTAATCCATGTCTGTCCAGACACACTGTCAAGACTCTGAAGGACTTTAATAAAAGGTATTATGTGTATAAACATGGATGCTTCACACACATCTTCCCCTGGCAGCACAGAAGAACTATACAAACAGCACAGTTTCAAGGTGGACACCCAAGATTAGTGTCACCAATTCAGAATCTGACCCAGTGTCTCCCCTTCTGCTTCTGAGATATGACACTGAATAATGACCAGGAAAGTGTTTCGAGGAACATTATGATGTCACAGTGAAGTTGACCTTTGATTTTTTTTTTTTATCTAAAAAGTCAGCATTTTACACTATTAGACATTTGTGTGAATTTTGGTTGTAATTAGCATGTGAATTCTTGAGTTATGGGCAAATTCATGTTTTGTGAGGTCACAGTGACCTTGACCTTTGAACACCAGATTTTAACCAGTTCATCCTTGAGTCCAAGCAAATCTTAAAAAAATCCCTCATGGCCTTCCTGAGATACTGCGTTCACAAGAATGAGCAGACGGAGGGACAGATGAAACCTCACACACCTGACTCTATTCAACAACAAGCACACCACGAATGGTGTCATCACATTACAAACTTAACATAAAGTTATGTTTGTAACATAAAGATATGTAGATAAGATTTAGGAAAGTTTTTTATTTTTATTTAACCTTTATTTTACCAGGAAATAGTCCCATTGAGATTCAGAATCTCTTTTCCAAGGGAGTCCTGGCCAAGACAGCAGCATAATAGTTCCACTAAAAACACAACAGGTTAAAACAGACAACATGAAACAAACAGTTATGTTGCGCAAGTTAGTTTTAGGAAAAGACACATGGTTGCGCAACCTATTCTCAGACAGTTCTTATGATATCCTAAGAATTTGTGCCCTACAAATGACATTACGTCCTTAATGTACAGTTATGTAATTAGGTTAGGTTTAGGCAATAAAAGTAGCTGTTGTTATATTTAGGAAAAGTAACACAGTGAGGAAGAACATTCAAATGACTCAAAGTTCACAAGGATCTGAACATGGGACTCCAGAAGAAAGTCCCAGGTAAAAGTATTTTTTGGTGACCCATCCACCACCCCAACCTGCCTCCTTTCAAGCGCTCGGGTCTGCCTCTCACATGATCGCAGCCTTTCAAAATACTTGGGATATTTACAAATTTGGGTGCATTGCTTTCATCTAAACAATGTTTGAGCACAGTCTGGATGGCGACATCCCTTAAAATAACTCAGTTCACTTGGTTTCACACAGGACATAAACACTGGTCTCCTGGGGGACAGTCCTGTGTTTGTTTGATCCATCCACCTCCCCATGCTGCCACTTAATGCAGACTTTCACTCATTATACTACTTCCTTTTTTACTCCCGTCAGTGCATTGATCACATGATTGCAGCCTTCCTAATTACATGGGTTAAACAGAAATTTTGGTGCATTACTATTCTTAGGTATACATACGTATTGTGCATGACAACAGTGTGATGGACAGATGGACTGAAACAACACTAAAAGATAACTCATCTGGCCACAGCTGGCGCTGGTGCGGAGGCCTGATAAGTTTAATTTCCTAAAAAAGCTGGTCACTGTAGTTTTTAACAAATGGGAGGAAATAGTGCATTTATTGGGGACTATTTTCAGCAGGGGATTAATCCACATTTAGTGAGTATTTGTGGCAGCAGGATAGTGTATGTGGGACTGAGTCCAAATGAACTACAGTGTTTGTGTTTATGGTAATGAAGGAACATGTCACCCAGTGACACAGAGTGGCTTTTAACACTGATGTAGCTCTATGGCACAGAGGTAGAGAGAGATATCAGGCTTCAATACACACACAGTGATTGTTTCATTGTTGGTCTCTTACTGTGATTTATTTGCATTAAGAAAAATATCACCAGCCTAATATGTGACATAACTCTTCACAAAGTCATTAGAAGCCACAGCGTTCTCAAAAACAACAAAGAACAGGACCTTGGTGTTGTTAGGGTTAATATTAGAGACTAAGGGAGTGCATTATGTCAATGAGGGTCCTCACAAGTGTAGGAATATTGTGTGTGTGTGTGTGTGTGTGTGTGTGTGTGTGTGTGTGTGTGTACTGGGGGTGGGTGGAGTTACATCACAAATCACAGCTGGCTCTTTAATCCCAGACTGTCACTGTAATCCAGATTGGGATTTCTCTCTGTGACTTCCTGGTCGCTGTCAGTCAAACTCTCCTCTCATGTAATCCTCCTCTGACTGTCTGAACGGAAGCTTCTGATTGGACGCTCTGGAATCTGCACTATCTGTCCGTCAGAGGCGGAGCGCTGGATGAACTGATGCTGCTGAGATAAAAATGGTTTGGCAGCCATGGCCAGGATGAATGGATGAACAGGGACAGTGTGTTGTGGTGATGGAGGTGAATGAGGGATAAGGGTGGTGGCTGAGCTGAGTCAAACTGGAAATTGTTTCAGCCTCATTCAGCTGATGAATTTATCCAGAACAAGCTCAACCATAACTGTAGCCTGTTGTTAAGATATAAGTTATCTCATCAGTGTTATCATTTATCAGTTCTGCAGCACAATATGTCAACAAGTACATTTCTCTCCCTCAGCATGTCATTACTGTCTCACATTAGCTAAAGTAGTGATAGTGATAGTGATAATGATGATGATACCTAAATAAGAAGAAAGTAAAATAAGAAAATAGGCTATATTTTTATTTGCCTTCCAAAATGACCCGTATAACCGTTTAAAAATGACTTATGAGTGTTTTCTGCTCTGCCACCTCTACAGCTGTGGTAAAAGTTGATTGCACGATGTAATGTAGTTAATTATGTAAGAATAATGACACCATAGGCTTTTAAGCCGCATATCCAACAAACATGTTCGATATAGAGCCTTAGAATTGTACGTAACCAATATGGCTATGTACCTAAACTCTTAATCTGTTTGCAGACAGTACTTCTAATTGTAGGTAGGGTTGTTACAAGATGGTATTAACCGTGTCAGTGGTCCTTGCAGCTCTCGCCATATTTCCTTTTCCCCGACAACACAGGTTAATGTCTGAACCTTGTTGATCATCCATAGGACAGGGTAGTTTTTGTCTCAGTCAAATGGGATATTGAAATGTAGGGGCTTTGTGGTCTGTGCATTGAGTCCTTGTCAAGTGATGAGTGATGATTTTTTCTTGTCTAATCAACGGACTGCAGTGTTTATAGCTCCACTTTTTAGAATTGGATCAATGTGCTAGGTACATCAACAGAGGGGTGACGAAAAAACAGGACAGGATAGAATGATTGCTTTGTCACTGTCGACAACTTTTGACAATGGAAATGCAAAAATAATCGTTCCAATGTGTAATAAACTGAACTGAACCGGACTGCTTTGTGGTATAAGCCTTGCTTTCACTATGCAGTTTTCTCTGCCACTGGGTACGATTTCCCGACAAAAAAATGAAGGCTTAATTTACAGCCCAAAGGAAGTACGTCAAACATTGAGCAAGAATATCAGGAAGAGAGTAGCACTTACAAAAGTTATCTTATGGCACTTTTTATATAGTACAGGTATAAACCATACTATTTAATTTACAAAGACCTAACATTTCCCTGAGGAACAAGCACTTTGGCGGCGAGAAAAAATGTCCTTTCAACAAGCAGAAGCCTTGAACAGAACCAGACACGAGGTAGGCAGCCATCTGCCTCAACTGGTTGGGTTGAGAAATTACAGGAAAACAAAAAGTGATGCGGTTGTCGCTATGCTGAGCAGGTACTCTTCCATAAAGTCCACTATACTGACAAACCAAACCAACACGGTCTCACTCCAAAGTCATTGAAATCGGGCGCTTGGGCAGTGACTTCCAGCATTGGACACCAAAGAAAAAGCACAGGTAGGACACAGAATGCATCACTGTCTCCAGTGACTAAGATGGACACGCTGAATGCCTGTCCATCCAACTGGTTCCCTCAGAGTTTTTCCATTGCTTACAGCATGCCGTGCTCCTTTCACCTTTCCGTCAGAAAAATAGTCATAATTCGAATGACCACAACAGTTTGATTGTAAGGAAAATGTAAATATGTGTTGTTTTAGGCAAATAATCCATGCTGCCATCTTTCTGGTGAGAACAATCTTGCTGGAGAGTCCTCCTTACTTGTCTGTTGAAAGTCACTCTAAGCAGTGAGGTTACTTCCTGTAAAAACCATATTTTGCATCACTGGTATCCACACAATTCATATCTACATCATCTAGAGCATCACATTGGAATCTGATTGTCCAGTTTTCAGCTGCCAGACTCAAGCGAATGATTTTCAAACTAGAATATCATGAAATCAGTGTAGATAAAACATCAGATGTTAGTTTCAGTTCAGAGGGATGAAGTCACACTGATGGATGGGTGTTACAGATGGAAAGTCCTTATGTAGCATTGACAAGGGCCAATGCATGATGGGAAACAAACACCAAACATGCCTACCTTGCAGTTTTTCCACCAGTACTTGTTCTTGAGTTTGGCGGCGCTGCTCTCAAACTGCGAGGCTCCGGCCTGAAGGGCGTCGGCTCGGTCATCCAGCTCCGACAGCTTCTGATCTCTCTCCAGGACTTTGTCCACATTCACACGCATGATGTCCACCACCTGTCAGACAACAAAACCTTTCAAAACACCTTTCAATAATCTTAATTCATTGGTCATTTTAGTGTCTCATTTTTCCTTTTTTCATTCATTGTAGCCTGATTTTATTTTAAAAGTGCATTCCTTTGTCTCCGAGCAGTTTCCTCACCTCGTCCACCTGTGCTTGTGTCTGATGCAGTCGTCTGTTGCTGGTGAGGTTCGGGGCCGGAGCCGGAGGGCCCCCCTCCCCCTCTGGGGCCCCGGGAGTAACTGCTTCTGGAGTGGACCTGCAGACAGACAGGGCATGTGAGACAGAGGAATAACCATAAACTATGATTAAAACAACATTTCAAGTTCAGTTCAGTCTTTAAATTTGGAGTTGATTTATTTTGTTTTTTGCACTTTGGCCAGAAGTGGCAGTTACATGGATGCTGAAGCATAGCTCAGTAATGTCACAAGTATCAATTTATCAATAAATATTGATTCTGAATATCTGAAACAGTTTCAATACTCATTTTCCTCAGTATTAATACACTAGTACCAGCTGCGCTGTCTTATTGTTAATGTTTAGTGTTAATTGGGGGTCAGCGTTTCAATCCCCGGCTCCTCCAGTCCACATGTTGAAGTATCCTTGGGCAAGATATTGAACCCCAAATTGCTCCCAATGGCTGTTCCCTTGGTGTGTAATTAAGTTTGAGTGTTTAAAATTTGTCACCAAAGGCATCAAAGATCAAATCCAATATCACAATAGATATGTACTTTTATTTGTCCCTGCGGGGAAACTGGTTATCACACAATTACAAAGTCAACATAATGAAAGTCACACATCCCCAAAAATCATCAATAGCCATACACAGAGATAACACACATTCATATGCCCATACAAATGCAGGAGGGGGGGCAGACCAGACTAGCTGGACATGTTTTGGGAAAGGGACAAAGTGGCCACAGTGCATGGGATTAGCTGCTAGTGCATTACCTGTTTAAAAACTTAGTGGTGTGTGGAACAAATGAAAACTTGGTTTTTAGTGTATATATCATCGCCCAGATGGCAATAGATTAAAAAAAGAAGGCAAGGGAGTTACTCTGGTCACCCATAATGTTGTTTGTCTTTGTCTCTGTACATGCATTCCATACTCAGGAAAGTAATTCCTAATACTGTTGTTTTTCTGTGCCTCTGTAGCATTACTAACCCAGCTGATGATGCAGAAGGATAAAACGCTTTCAGTAAAAGCACAGTAAAACATTCTGAACATTCTGTTGTGGACATTAAAAGATTGCAGCTTCTTTAGAAAGTGCATTCTTTGTCGTGTCTTAGTGCTTCTGACGTCAGTGCACAGGTCCCATTTAAGCTTGTAGGCAGGCACGATGCCAAGGTACTTGTAGTCTGTCACAGTTGTTATTGGCTTCCCATTGATAAAAGTCGGGACAGAGGATTGCAGCCTCCTGAAATCTTTTTTATAATTTCCATTGTTTTAGAGGTGTTCAGATCGTGTCTTTATGGTAGCTGCCCCAAGGTTTTGAAGTAGCCTTCCACTCTCCATCAAATGACACTTTTAAGACAAATCTTTTAATATTAATGTCATTTTAATATTTTGGTGTTTTATAATCTTTTTACATAATTGTTCTTATCGTTTTATTCTGTTTTACATTTGTGTACATGTTATACTGCTATATATTTGTGTGTCACTCTTTTAATTTGTACAGCACTTTGGTCAACTGCAGTTGTTTATAAATGTGCTATATAAATAAACTTGATTTGATTTGATTCAGGAGTAGATTTGGCTTCTCACTACAGTAAAGAAGTAGTCAAGAATTGCCCCATGCACCTCCTCAAATTTACAAGGATGGGACATAATGGATGGAAGATCTGAGTACTCTTAACTGGAATAAGAAATCCAAGGGCGTAGGTTTCATTTCAACATTAGGAAAGTGGATTTGTGGGTCAAACACTTAATTTGCTGTATTCTGGTGAATTTGTTTGTACCTTTGTACCTCAGTTTGTACCTCTGCTGCATCAATTCATGATTTAAACAAGGACTGTAGGACTGTCAAAATAACACGTTAATTTCGATTTATTAATCACAGTAAAAAATAATGCAGAAAAAAATTAAAGCTGATGATTCACATTTCAGGGTGCCCTTTGACATGGTTACTGAAGGACTCAGTGGCTTTGTCACATGATGGAGGCAGACGAGACGACGCTGCTTAGCCCCGTGAATGGAACATTTACATTCAAAAAACATATAGATGGAACTGTTGATAGGAGCACCATTCTCTAAAATTTCTGCAGTAAAGGATTTTTTGTACCATTGGAGAACTAAAAGCCTGAAATATCACCTCAACATAAAGCTTTTAGCAGCAAACCTGGAGGCCCGAGCTAGTACAGCTTATGATGCTATGATGGTGTTAAGATGCAAACTGAATAAGTCTACCTGTGACTAAGTAACAAACTCTCTTGCAAATGGACTGCAATGGACTGCAGACCAGTTTCGGTGGTAGCTTTACCACAACACATTCGCCAAAATTCATTTGAATTGAAATTTTTTAAATACTTTAACAGCAAAAAAAATGATGTATAAGATTAATTTAGATTTATACATCACAAAGGGTGTAATTAATCAGATTTTTTTAATCCCTTGACAGCCGAAATTTAAACATCTAAATTCTGTCTGAATAAATGTCCTCTGCTACTTTTATGTTCTAAGTTATAAGGGGTACGTGTCCCCTGCATTACCCCATAATCTACGCCCATGACGATAGGCCTGTCATTTGTCTGCGACTTTATAAATCAGAGTCTGTCAATACAGAGGGGATTTTTAAAACCCCAATTCAGTAACAGAGACATGACTCATCAAACTTTGGCCTCCATCCATCTAATCAAAGTATCAGAGACTGAAACAGCTCAGCAGCAAACACACAGCAGGTGGTTTGATGCATGGTCACACCAAAAAACAGCTCACTTCTTTGACAGCCTCAGGCTTGTTTTCCAGAGGCAAAATGGAGAAAGATTAGTGCAGCAGCAGCAGCAGCCAGAGGCTCCGGACAGATAAACATGCACGCAATAATTCCTCCCCCTCCTCCTCCTCCCCCTCCTCCTCCTCCTCCCCCACAAGAAAAATATAATAAAATAAAACATTATAAGCCACATTTTATCCAGCTCTTTGTGATGCTGTGAGCTGAATAAAGTGTGTGTTTGTTTGATGGTGTGACGATTAATAGTATAAACGCACTTTAGCCGATCACAGTGTTATTGATGGATAGTTTTGTAGGTGAGTCAGCCGGTGAGTCATTGTACCAATATTTCTGCTGCAGCCCAGAAATGTCCAGAAACACAGACAAGTTTCGTTTCAGCAACATAAACGTGAATAAAAGCAGAGCTCACTGTTATGTAAATAAAATGAGGGGAATGTGAATTAAATGAAGAATGTGTAGTTTTCAAACACTGGAAACTACACCGAGCAGGATGTTTCTATATGCATGTAAATTAAACTTAAAATTAAGACAGTGAGGAGATATTCCACACAGTCAGAGTTTATATATATATATATATATATATATATATTTAATATATATATTAAAAATGAAAGAAATATGGAGTACTCACATCTGAGCGGCAGGATGATGGAGATAATCTGAGTCCGAGAGAGAGGGGGGGTGAGACAGAGGGAGAGGGAGAGAGAGAGAGAGAGACAGACAGACAGATCCAAGCTGAATATAAATGAAGGATGACTTCAGGCTTCTCTCCTTCAGTGATTCAGTTTTTCTATAAGACCAAAAAACTACAACTCAAGCAGCTGCGCATATTAAAAAAAAAGAAAAAACTCTGCGTCACAATAGCCCCGCCCACACACACCCCCACACACCCACCCACACACACACACACACACACACACACACACACACACACACACACAGTCCCACTCGCAATAATTCTTTTCCAAGGATGACGAAAGCATGGCCCGCCCTACTCTCCCTCTGATTGGCTGCTACCCCTTGCCTTCTCTAATTAAGTTGTGAAGGTCAAAGTTAAAGGAACACTTCACCCCTCAGATTATCATTTGTGTATTAGTTACTCAACATGACTTACCTTGAATTCACAAAGGAAAGTTTGATTTTCTTGCATGCCTCAATGGTAAACGAAGAATCCAAAACCATAGAAAATTCTTGATGAATTGAAGTCATAGGGGGCCATGTTTAACAACAGCAAAACCATGTCAAATCATCCGTTAACAAAATGTCCCACAACTCGTGCAGCGATGAATTAAAGCAACCCTTACCTTTCTTCATTTCACACAGCACTTTGAAAAAATTTGAACATCCACAAATCCCACCTCCCTCCAAAGTCCTGTCACCCTTCTCCTGCAACTCCACCTCCCTCCATCGTCCTACTTCCCCCTCCTCCATTACGTCCTTGTGACGTCTATGATAGATGCCTGCGCCAGCAAGGTAACGTTAGATACACAGAAGAGGAGAGCGAGTGTAACGTTACAACCAGTCAAACGCAACCCCAGAGTTTTAAAACTTAACCGGAGTCAGTGATGACTGATGAGTTTTAGAATAAGGTTACAGTGCTAATGTTAGATAGTAGCGTTAATGTTACTAGTAAGTGGAAACGCACAAGAAAGATAATGTTAATGTTTCAGAGGCTACGCTACAGTAGGCTAACGTTAGTCATTAGCAACTGGATGCTGTGTTGTCATATAAAGTTAGATGTTATATTAGGAGCAAACTAAACATAACGTTACCTGTCCTGCACAGTCAAACGCAACCCCGGAGTGAGTGGTTACATCAGTCGGAGACCTCGACGTGGGGAAGACAGACAGGATGCTCGGCCAATCATTGCATTTGGTCCGAATGCTTATTAATAGAATTTTAACCTAAACAAAGAAAAGTGTAAAATTTCCAGAAAGGTAAGTGTGGCTTTAACGTAGGCTCGTAGGCTCGTAGGCTCTGCATCCATCTCTCTTGTGTTGCTGTAATCTGAATTTCCCCTGTGTGATCAATAAAGTTTTAAGTCCTCCTAAATCTTGTGTCACAAGTAAATTCTACATTAATAAAAGTACATATGTATAATCAGCAAAATGCACTTAAAGTATCAACGTAAAGGTACTCATGCAGAGTGGCACTTTATATAAAGTTTCATTATTACTGGATTGTTCTTATTAATGCATGAAAGTGTGTGGAGCTTTTTAATATACAGTAACAGAAGGAGGTGGAAGTAATTTTGAGTACTTCATGTATTGTTGAGTTGTTTAATCTGTAACAACGCGTCAAGGTCATCATATTTTAAATTTTAAAAGTAAAGCTAGCTGTCAGATAAATGTGGTTGAGGAGAAAAAGTGTTTCAGTCTCTTTGAAATTTAATGGAACAAAACACATCTACCTCAAAACTGGACTAAGTACTTCATGAGTAATATGATATCACACTACTGTACTCTAAGTTTCAATGCTGTATTCGGTGATGGAAGAAGTATTTTAGATCGTTTATTTACCGAAATGAAAGTAGCAATACCACAGTAAACAAATACTCCATTACTCCATTACAAGTTAGAGGCGCTGATTTTAAAATTTGTCTTGATGAAAAGTACAGAAACCTACTGAAATATCAAAAGTAAAAATACCCCTTATGAAGCAGAGTGTTGCCTATTAGTTAGTGATGGCCAAATGAAGCCTCATGAAGCATTTTCTTTATTTTATGAGCCCACTAGATGGTGCTTTTTCTTCAACAAAAAGTTGAAAGCACACTGAATTGTCATTCTTTGAGTCTCTCTCTTTAAACCAAGAGCGCCATCTAGTGGGCTCATAAAATAAAGAAAATGCTTCATGAGGCTTCATTTGGCCATCACTACTGTTAGTCTTGTTATTATATTGTTTGATCATAATTTTTGATGTATCATCATGTGAACAGCATTTTAAAGCCAATTAGTATCATAATACATAGTAATAAAACATCAGATTTTATAACTGATCGTATGTTTTGTGTGTAAAATCCTTTCTACACGAGTAGTAACTGGAGCCGATAAATGTAGTGGCATAAAAAAGTCCAATGTTTCCCTCTGTTTTTTAAGTAGAAGTATACAGTAGCATAAAATGTAAATGTCTGCAGAGTATAGTATTTGAATAATGTATATGTAATGATGTATATCTTGTATTGGTCAACACAGCCAGCTGGGGTTTCCTAAGTGCTCTGTGTTTTAAATGTGCTGAAGCGGTGCGGCTGTTTCCCCTCAGCAGCCTTTTCTTCTTCTGCTGTTTCGGTGTTTGTTCTTCTTCACTGACTATTGATTCAGGTTGTTTGTTTTGCTGCTTTGGAGCTCCTGTGTGTTGTTGAGCCGACAGAACAGTGTGAACATGAGGCAGTTAATATCAAATTATTACAGGAGCAAGCGGACTGAACTGAAACTGATGAAAGTAATCAATGCTGCAGATAAACTCTAGTTCAGTCAAAGAAAACTTTATTTCCACAACTGCTTTAGTCACTTCACAGATTTAGATTACAAATACAAAATGTTAAAAAAAACTCATTAATTCTGGTGTATTGGTTAAGCCACTCAGAAGTATAAGCAATTGATATGAACTCCACCTTAACCAGCTGCATCATTAGTGGTAAATATACATTAATGCATGAGTAATCATAATCCAGCGGTCAGTGGTGGGATGTAATTAAATTTACTCAAGTACTGTACTGTTTACAAAAAAGAAAGAAATCCAAGGCACTCCTCTAGCAACACATGTTAAAAGGCTTTATTCAGATGGCTATTTCATGATGAAATGTAAAACACACTAATACATATTAAAAATGGAGCTGGGATACAACCCACACATAGCGGCACAAACAGCCTTCTTCAGGGTGTAAATCCTCAGCACACAGTTTCCCCTTGAATAGACAAGATAATTACACACACCTGAGCAGGAAGACAATAAAGTCTCAGGCAGCAAATGCAAGCCATGACCATTAGATGGCTCCACAAGATATGGATTGAAGAACAATATATTAGTCCATAGCCATTGGTAGCTTTGTCACATTCTACCTATGCCAATCCTCAATGCCTATGTGCAGTTTCACATAGATTGACCATGTCAGTGAGTAGAAAAATGTGGGACAGACAGAATGACTGACTGACAGAATGACACACTGACAGTTTCCGTGATTATGTACAGCATACCATACCATGACTTAGTCATACCAAAACAAAACATTGGGCCACAGGGGGAGCCACAGCGATCAGTCACATTTTAGCCATTTTTAAGCATTTTTCTGTTGTTATAGTGCCACCCAGTTGCCAATTAGAGTTAAATTTCTCCAGTCACCTTGAAGCGTCTTGGTGCCCCATTTTTTTGATCGGGTCAATAATGGAGGGGTCCCCTCAGATTATGTGTGGTCATATGCCTACAAAGTTGTGTGGTGATCGGTGAAACCCTTGAGATGTTATACACCTTTATGTGATGAGCCACGCCCTCCGCAATATTCATTGCCTTATAGAAGCTCAGTTTTAGTAAGTTTTCCAACTTTTGCCAAGAGGGAACTTTAGATATTGGTCCCTAGATTATGTTCACCCAGTTTCATGCAGATCGGTCAAACTTCCTAGGAAGAGATCGATTTTGTAAGAATAAATAAATCAATAAATCAATAAAGATAAAAATAAATCAATAAATAAAAATAAAATATAAAATAAATAAATGAATAAAAGAATAGAAAATAAAATAAAAATGAAAAAAAAATAAAATAAAATAAAAATGAAAAATAAACAAAATTAACAAAGAATTAGAGGGCAAAAACTCATAATCCTAAATGTATATACCACACAGTTATAAAAAAAAAAGGACTGTAGTCAATTTCTTGGTTCAGTCCTGGGCATATTGTAGCCTGCGTATGGAATATATGAAAGGTTTCTCTCTGCAATAATAATTTGAGTTGATCACCACCTCGAATGTTCTTTTGGATGGTTTCTAGGCCTTCAACCATAAGGCTATATGAAGGCCTAGAAACCATCCAAAAGAAGATTCGAGGTGGTGATCAACTCAAATTATTATTACAGAGAGAAACCTTTTATATATTCCATATGCAGGCAATATGCCCAGGACTGAACCAAGAAATTGACTACAGTCTTTTTTAGTAACGGTGTGGTCTGATGTCTGTGTTGCTTAAGAGGCATATATATTGTTTATGTTTTGTTGTTTGTATATACATTTAGGATTATGAGTTTTTGACCTCTACTTCTTTGTTAATTTTGTTTATTTTTATTTTACTTTTTATTCTTTTATTTATTCTTTTATTTTTTTATTCATTTATTGATTGGTGTGTATGTTTTCTCTATTGTACTTTTGCTTCACTGTATCTGTCTGACAGCTGGAGTTATTTTACAGAGGTTAAATTTTTACAAACAAAACTTTATCAATTCATAAAATATGATGCTTTGCTACAGATTAAACCATCCAACAGTAAGTAATTAAAATGTGCTCCCCCTCATTCAATATGATATTACAATGGATCTTATGTGTAAAAACATTCATGATAATAATAATAATAATAATAATAATAATAATAATAATAATAATCAATTAATCTGATAAATATATAACAATATAACAAATTAGGGATTTTTTTTATTATATACATTATACATTTTTGCAAATACACATTATAATACAACTTTTGAAACTAGAATAATGAAATCTGTGTTAAAGCTGCCAACTGTTGAGTCTGTCAGATGTATGTGACACCTCTGACAGGTTTTATGACAGTGTTGGTCAGTCTGTCACATTTTACTGGAATAAAAATGATTAAAGTCAGACGAATCGAGTGAAAACTTTTTCTTATGAGGTAAAACTGATGTTGACAAAGTCTTCCTTTCCTAATAATTTGCAGTTGGGAAAAAAAGTAATAATTGCCG